GTTTGAGCCCCATGTTGGGTGTAGAGTTGACTTAAATAAACAAATAAAATTTAAAAAATTAGTGTTTATCAAAGGATATCATATAAAACTTAAAAAAAGACAAGACGTGAACATCTTTGGTGGAGGACATTATTTTGTCTATTCCACCGATATACTCTGTTAAGATTTTATTGACTTAAGTTTTACAAGATATATTCTTACGATGCTGGATATAGTAATTATATTTTTTCAAACCAGCAATACTGTAAATAGTACAGGAATTGTAGCCTCGAAGGATGCCCACAAATATTCTCACCTGGACACTAAACAAGTAGTTCATACTGAAAAGAACAATGTGAAGCGTAAGAATAAAAGGATCTCATGCAGATTGAAATCCAGATCAAGTCTTGTTTAACTCAATGGGGGCCTTCAGATGCAGAAGATGCCACGGTCAATATTCCATCTGCTGATGAACCCACGTTGGCCCTCTCTGTTCCCGTGGTACCATTTTGAGCTCCTCAAGGGCTTCTTTCTCCCAGTGCTATCCAGTAGAATTCCAGGGCTTAGGCTGAGGATAACTGCAGGACCTCCTACCTGCTGGGGACGGAGTCCTGCCCAGGTGAGGAGAGAATGTTCCGTCCTCCCTTGCACAGCTGCAAGCTCTCCAGCTTGTTTTCTGCATCACAACACTGTCCTGCCCACAGTTCTAACAACGGGATCTGCAGAGACACCCAGAAGGAACACTTTCAAACACTTGAAAGAATGTTGCTGTGTCCTGAAAATTTCAACCGGGAGCTTTATTTATTTATTTTTTTAATTCTTAAAAGATTTTATTTATTTACTTGACAGAGAGAGAGCACAGTAGGCAGAACTGAGGGCAGAGGAAGAGGGAGAAGCAGGCTCCCCGCCGAGCAGAGCGCCCAATAAGGGGCTCCATCCAGGACCCCGGGACCATGACCTGAGCCGAAGGCAGATGCTCAACCGCCTGAGCCACCTGGGCGCCGCTCAACCAGGATCTTTCAAAATGGAACTCTGCTCGGTAATCTTACTTATTAAAGTGTTCATGATGTGTGGCCTCCGTAACAATTTATTAAATAATCTTTCTGTCTCCGACAATGTATAAAGTACTATGAGTTGTCTTGGCTAAGCAGAAGAGTTCAGTGTATTAAGTACAGGTGCTCAGAATGGACCGAGGCCCCTTTGAGCTTTAATTACCCCATCCCGACGACCAACCTATGAGGCAGTGATTTAGGGTCCCAGACCCAGTTCCAGGGCCTGCGGGGTTGCCCCACACACATCCCCAAGCACGGTGTGCAAGACTTCCACTCAGTTCCGACATCTCTACCCAAAGGTAGCCCAGATCCCACTTGTTAAGGATTCAGACCCACGGAGACTGTCCTCCCCCTTCAGCCCCTGCAGTCAGATGTCAGTCCTAAGCCGCTGCTGTTCTATGTGCTTCTGACCGATCCCAGGCAGATTGGGGGATCCGACAACCTCCTGCTTGGGTTCGATTAATGTGCCAGAACCACTCACAGAACTTGCGGAAGCACGTCTTTATAGTTACCAGTTTAAGAAAGGATATAAAAGCGGATACAAATCCAGAGCCAGAGGAAGAGGTACAGAGGGCAAGGTACGGGAAAGGTGAAAGGTCACAGGCCCCCAGCCCTCTCAGGCTCGCCACTCTCCCGAGTCTCCATATGTTTACCAGCCTGCAAGGGCTCTGAACCCAGTTCTTTAGGGTTTTCATGGAGGCTTCATTGCATCAGGGATTACTTCAATCGTTGGCCATTGGAGATTGATTCAACCCTCCAGTCCCTGACCCGTCCTTGGGAGTCAGGAGGAGGGAGTGAAGGGTCCCTCTAATCACATGGTTGGTCCTCCTGGCAATCAGCCCCCATCCTTAGGTGAGGTCCAAAAGTCACCTCTGAACGTAACTAAAGACACTTTTGTCCCTGTCAACACTTAGGAAATTCCAAGGGTGTGGGAGGCAGTCACTGTGAAAGACCAAATATAGATGAGGCATATTTTCATCATTTGGATGACCAAATTTCTCTTTCTTATACATGTGAATCTCGCAGGTAGGTAACGTTATTCTTCTCATTTGAAAGTCATGAAACTGTGGATCATTCTTTCTGCTGGCCCTCTGAGTCTGGGCCCGATGCCTCCCATCCTCGCTTGATCACGGTGCCCTGTGGGGCGTCTTTTCTAACCTTGGTTTCTGGCCCTTCACAGGATGGTGTTCTTCTCATCCACTTAAATTCATTGTAACAGAGAAAAGGGAGGTCTCCGAGGCCTCTCCACGGCCTGGTCACACGGGGCTATTAGAGGAGGGGGACCGTCTCATGTCTTCTGTAAACCAGGTCGCTTCTGAGAGGGAAAGGGCTTCTCACTACTAACAAAGTTGGCACAATAGGCCCCAACGGACACAGTCTCTGGAATCCGGGACACAGCGACTCACGGGAGCCTTCGGGAGATCTCTTCAAGGCCTGGAGATGTGATACCACCATGCCAACATCTTTCTTTGGCAGGAGACACAAGGGAAATAGCTGCCTGTCCCTACTGTTTCTTGTTCTAAGCTTGGCCCTCAGGGAGCTGAGTGTCCCTTCCAGAAAGAGAGACTACGTGACAGAACAAAGGAAGAGACCATGCCTTGCTTGCCCGAGTCCCTGTGAGGAGTTCCTCGTGGGTCTGGAAAGTATCCTCGCGCTCTCTCTGTAATGTTTCTATCAAGGAAGGGAATGACTGGAATGCTGTCTGAAAGTGGGGAGGGCTTT